GGCTCATACAGAGCAGGTCTGGAGGGATCAGAGACAAGGGGCTGGGGGACAGAGCGCCGACCACCCCTCCGCAGCTGGACGTCCCGCCAGAGGCTCACCAAGATGTAGAGTGCTCCCTCCGAGCTCTTCTCGTACTCCTTGATGGTGGAGAAGACCGACAGCACGAGGCAGGAGAAGACCAGCAGGAACCTGGGGCCGAGGCGAGGGTGGTCAGCGGTGGCACAGACAGGGCACGGGGGTCAGAGCCCCGCACCCACGTCTGCAACGCCCCCAGGGACTGCGTACCACCACGCCTGCCACACTCCCGCGTCAACAGCCCTGGGCTGTGGGAAGGTCCCCAGAATGCTGAGAGGGACACTGGCTGCCCCGTGGACGTCCCTCAGTCAGTCTGGGTCCTCTGCCTTGCAAACGCTTGTCCCTTTCTAGGCTCACAAACAGAACACGCCCGTCTTCCAGTTAGAACGGTCCTTCACGAACACCCGCCCAGGGCCTTGGCTGCCAGATCTGGGTCCTGGCTGTGCATGGCAGCGGCAGAGAGGGCCTGCAGTTCCCAGTAAGTGTTGCCGGGAGACACCGTGCGGCTAACGCAGATGCCAAGGCCCGTCCAACACAGCAGCCAGGGTGTCCAGCTGAAGGGGACAGTGTGAGCCTGGGGTCTGAGGGAGCAGAGTGCCTGAGGCCAGGGGCTGGGGCACAAAGCACATGGTGTGGGGAGCCAGACAGGGGTCCACACACCCCGCCCCTCCCAGGTGTCATCGCCACCCTGGACGCCCCAGGAATCAAGACTACCAGGCTCCCAGGTGGCAGGAGGAGGCCCCTATGCAGTCCGACCCGAGCCCAGCCGCTTGGACACTAACCCAGGCCCGCCCCCGCTGGATCCGCCCATGTCCTGCTGGCGCACTAACTGGGCTGCCCCAGCAGCTCTGAGCCTCAGCCCCGTCCTGGGGCACCTCGGGCAGCCCTGCCTCATGCACCCCAAAGACCCTCCCTGGGAGCATGGCTGGGGAGGGGGTCCCGGCGCACGCCCCGCAGATAAAGGCAAGGCCAGCGCCCGGCAGCCAGATAAGACACAAGTGAAAAAACAGTCACATTTCAAAACCACAATTAATTTCCTTTCATTAGACAATTTATTCAATTAACTGAGCCCTGGAGAAAACGTCCAGATAGCTCATGTGCTGTAGGTATGTATTTGTAACCCTCTGCCTGCTGGTGTCTTCTCCCAAGTCAGTCAGCGGGGGGGGTCGCACCCGTGCAGGGAGGACCTGCCCGGGACAGGGGACGTGGAGGTTCCCAGGTTCTGGGTCAGGACCCTGGACGCCTGGCTCATGGCAGGGGCTGAACATATCACCCACGGCAGGAAGGGCACCCAACTCGGCTTGGCTCGGTGCAGAGGTGCAGGGAGCCCAGGGAGATGTGCAATCTGGCAGGCCTCCCTGAGGAGGTGTCCACGAAGGTGAAGAGGAATGGGCAGGGCCAAGAGGGGAGAAGGGAAGAGGGCGTGGGGTGGCCCAGAGATGGGGAAGACAGCAGGTTCCGGGACCCGGCAGAGGGCACGTCTGACCAGATGGGAAAATGGGACAGGGGGAGCCTGATGCCACCGTCACCCATGTGCTGGCGGGCGGCCTCCACGCACAGACCCACGCTGTTAGAAAACGTTCCCCTGAAGTGAAGGAGAGAAAGCCCCGGTCCCAAGGCAACCAGGGCTTGTGCGCCCAGCTTCCTGTGGGCAGCTCTGACTGGCACCCTGGAACATTCCGGAACGGCCTGGCCATGCTCCGTGGACAGGCCGCCTTCCCAGCAGGCCGTGATGGGGAGCTGCAGAGTCACCCTAGGGAAGCGTGGACTCTGGGAAGGTCCCTCTCAGCCAGGGGAGCGGAGCCAACTCTGAGCAGCGGCCGCCCTGCACCGGAGGTTATAGAACGGACGGTCCCCACAGGCGCCGGGGTGCACGCTTGGGAAGAGGTGGGCCCGGCCCACCCGTGAGGGGGCTGGGGGAGGCAGGCAGCGCGTAAGGCCGCAGCAAAGACAAGCAGAGCCCCAGGGAGAGCGACCACCCGCTGGCCGAGCCACCTCTCCAGGCCAAGGTCGGGGTCCCCCGTTCCAGAGAGGAGGCCTCCAACGGCGATCACCTCCCCCACCCCCAGTGCACGTAAGCTGAAGAACAGAGGATACATTTATTTCCAGGCACCTTCCTGTCTGCAGGCGCCTTGGGGACCAGGGACCCCGCCAGCCCCCCGCCGTCGTCCACACTCGCACCCACCCTGGCATGGGGGAACTGAGCTCAGGAAGCTGCTCAAGGGCCCGAGCACAGTGTCCTCGGCGATGCAGACACCTGAGTGGGTCCAGCCCTGGGATCCTGGGGCAGGGGCTAGCGTGGACACAGGTGCCATCCTCCTGCAGGGCAGGTGGGGTCCCCTCGCAGACCTGGGCCGATCTGGAGCTGCCTGCCGACGCTCAGGGATCCGAAGGGGGCCTGTTCTCGCCTTCCCTCCCATGGCCTTTCCCTCAGTCTCTGCTCCGGATGGCTGTGGCAAGAAGGGACCCTTCTGCCCACTCGCAGTCCTCGAGAGACATGTGGGGAGAGGAGCCCAGGGACCACCACCAGCACCCCCGTGGGTCCCCTCAGAGCACACCGTGTGCTCAGAGTGCCCACTCCTCCAGGCCCCGGAGGACCCACGCGGCTCATGAGGAGAAGTTCAGACAGACATCTTTGCTCTGCCGGCCCAGGATGGCTGGTCCTCTTCCTCCTGGTGAGGACGGGGGACAGCTCTGCGGCCCCGCGGCTGGAGCCCCTCCCGTAGCAGCTCTGTGCAGCCCTTCTCAGCCCTCCAGCCTGGGAACTGTCCAGGCTGCCGCGGAAGACAGGAGGGAGGCGGGAGGCATCCCCAGTGCCAGGACCGGGTGGTTCTCCTCCTGCAGCCACAGCCTGAGATCGCGTCTCATGGTGAAATCCCCCGGTTGCCAAGGAGACAAGTATCTCAAGCAGCCGGTCTCCAGCCCCAGATTGGTGGGGGGGGGGGAGGGTGGGGGGCCCGGGGCGGGGGGGGGGGGTGAGAAGGACCTCAGACAGAGCTCACCCGAACACGAGGAAAGGGGCCACCTGGAGAAGAAGCAGCCGGGGACAACCCCTCGTCGTCTGCCGCCTGGGGCCGGCCAGCCCCGCCCAGGCCCGCAGCGAGCGGGCAGTGCTCACCCTGCGGCAGGAGAGACCTCAGCCGGAGTCAGAAGGGACTTGAGCCACAGCCTGAGCGGGGAGCGGAGAGGCCGGCAGGCGCCTGACTGCTGGGATTCTGACATACGGGGCGCTGGTGCGGGGCGGGCCCAGAGCAGGCAGGTGCTGACAGAAGGGACGGGGACAGAAAGCGGTGGAGGGGCTCAGGCCCACCAACGAGCCCCCCGTGGTGGTCAGCCTGTATCCACGCCTGCCGGTTGTGGGGGCACCGAGCAGGCGTGCACACGTGTGAGCACGGGTAAGTTCTGCCTGCCCCCGCACACGGGGGGGGGCGGCCCCCACCCCCAGGGAAACACTCCTCTGCTTCATCTCCCCCGCCCACACCTCACTCCATCTGATAGCACGGAATGCATACTTTCTGGAAAAACTGGACAGAGCCCCTGCGACATCGTTCCTGGGGTCAACAGGGAGGAGGCCAGCGCAGAGGCCAGGTGAAGCGCCCTGGGCCAGGCCCTCACCCTGGATGCCGTCGCTGCCCCCGAAGACTGAGGCAGGAGACAGCCGAAGCTTCCAGTCTGGTTTCCGTACGTAACGAAACAGACGTTGACGGTACCCGGCAAGGACGGGAGAAGGCTTGAGCGCAGCACCGCCCCCCAGCCCTGGCTGGCTGCTCTCCGAAGGTGGGGAAGGGTTTCTGACGTCAAGCCTCCCCCCTCAGGTTAGCATGCACAGCGAGGTGACCATGTGCTGGCCACGACTGAAGGCAGGACGTGCTCTTGCCCATGTTACAGGCGTGAAAACGGAGGCTCTGGAGCCGCTCACGGTGGTCACTCAGGGCCTGAGGACCCTCTTCCCCTCGCCACAGTGCGTCTGTGCCTCCCTGGGGGCTGGTGGCCCAGAAGCCCCGCAGGGCCAGGCGGAGCGAGCATCAGCCCGCACGAGGCCACAGCGGGACCTCCTGTCCAGACCTGCCACCCGGCCCCCGGGAGACTCTTGCCCGCCTTGTCCATTAGGACCTAGAATCTAATTTTGCCCCTAATAAACTGCTCTGCCTCCCGGACCCACTGCCACTTCCAATCTCCAGGAGTGACGGAGAGCCCGGACTGCTGATGGCCGCTCCAAGCATGAACCAGACGTGAACAATCACTGGGATCCCGCTGGGGCTGGAGGGAGGAGAAGGCCACGGTCCCGAGACTGTCTTCTGGAGCCAAGGCTCTCCCGTGGATGCGGCCTCCCCCCAGAGCCCCCAGGCCAGTCAGTCCAGCCCCCGACCTGAGCCGAAGCCCATGGGGAGGTGACAGGTGAGCTCTCGGACGGTGCCTCGCATTCAACGAGTGATCCATACGAAGCCCATGCCTGACGAGCCACAACCCAGAAAGCCCCAGCCCCATGGACGGTCCAGCCTCTGGCTCGGCACTCGAGGCCCCGTGAGCAGCCTTGGCCTGTCCCACCCCATTCCAGCCCCTCCCACGCCCGGCCCCCAGGGCCATCCCACAGCCAGGCCTGTCACACCAATGCCCCTTCCTCTCATAACACCCAGGGCAGGAAGGTCTCTCAGGAGACCGCTTGATGCCCCCCACTGGCCAGTGACCGCCCCCCCAGGATGGTCAGTCCCTACAAGGCCTTGGCCATGGACTCTCTCAGGACTGAGAGCTATGCTGGTCAGGATCCCTGCATCTCTCCCTAGCCATTCATCTATCAGAAGCCCCATGTTCACAGGGACACCCAACCCCCCACCAAGACCATAGGAAGCACGCCTCACTCTCCTCCTGCCGATTTCTCAGCCTTCCCAAACCAGCTTCCTGACCCCAGGGCCTTTGCATACACCGTTCTTATGGCCTGAATCTCTTTTCTGCTTGCACATCCATCATGGGGCCACCTCCTCCTCATCTGTGGGTTTCTGACAGGCTGCCCAGCCCTGCTATGCTAGTACCCTCCAAGAGCACCTTCCCTGCTCAGCTCAGCTGGCCCCTGACTACACAGCCAGAACCCACACACGGGGGTGGGGCAGGCTTCC